TCCTGTTGCTCCTTTTATCTTTTAACTGACATAATATACTATTACGTAGCAGTGGGTTACATAATAACATGTGGGATGTGCAGTCATACTTTAGCAGATAATTCAGTTCAATTACAATTTTTTTTATATTTTTCCAAATTGCAAAAACAGTCATCTCAAGATGCTTTTTATTGTAAAGACTCTACAATAGCCCAGAGAAAACCGCAACTATCAGCTGACCGCTATGATCCAGCACTTGGCAACAGTGGGAAGAAAAAAGAAACCCTCCTTTTAACAGGAAGACACCTCCAGCAGAACAAGCTCAGGGAGGAGCAGCCATCTGACATGACCAGCTGGGGTTGGCGGAAGAAGTTGAGCCACAGACACACTGTGGAAGAGAGTCAGAGATGAATAATAGCTACTGATGAAATGCAGAATGGTGTGTATATAACAGATAATAATGTTATTTTAAAATATCTACAAGTATAAACTGTACAGTTCCAAATCATCTGGCCTGTGGCCATACTTACCAACTGTGAACACAAAAATTCCAAAACAAATTTCCCTGGCAGGTTTAGTAAATCTAGTGTTAACGTGTACAGATGTGGTTTGTGGTGAATCTGTGTACCAGTTCCTCTAAAGTCCAGTTTGAACCTGCAGGGTGGGCTTTAGAAAGTCAAGCTCACAACTGTGTGAGATTTTACTGGATGCCAGTCTAACATAAAGCTAACACACAGAGACGTGCAACTGCACACTCTCACATCCCAGCCAGGTTGAAAAAGCAGAGCTTCTATGAAAGTGGAAATCCACAACTTCTATTTAACCCCAGACGGAAAAGTCCCAGCTGACCAGGATGTTTGAACACAAGGTGATACCGACAAATAAACACCGTGATGCACTGATGTTTAACTGGCAGCATGTTTGTATTTATCACATAGACAAATAAAAGCAAATAAATCCGCATCCATGAGGAAAGACAAACTGCACACATATACAGACTCGGTGGAGGCAGGGGAGCTCATTCTTGGACCATGTGAGGCCTTTGCATGTTGGTCCTTTCAGCAGCTACTTCATTCAGTTGTTGCCCGCTGTTGTTCACTAAAAATGAGGATCGGAGGTGTTTGATTTCGTAACCTCCCCCATCCCTGCCGCCGCTCCTCTGATCTTTTTACTTTCATTTTACCAACGAGGCAGCAGCTGCTCCACGGTCTCTCTCTTTTACCAAATAAAGTAGTTTTCTTATAAACACAGCTCCGAGAATCCGATGGTCACCGTGAATTTACAAATCTGCGGTCCGATCAGGTGAGTCTCTTCTCTGTGATATCACAGCTGCTTAGGAAGTTTGGTTTTTATATTCACCCATGTGTCGTTCAATTTTCGCTTTCTCAAACTTCAAGTTCAGTAAAAGTAGAGATACATATTCACTACTTTCTCCATTTGATTTAAACAAGTTTGATACTGTACAATTAATCACTTTAAAAGCACGTGTTTCTGGGGAATTCACCTGTTAGGACACGCCCCTCATGTATTTATAGCTCGTGTTCAGACTTATATTAAGCTGGTTTCAAGATGCTTTAATTTTCTGCATTACTGTCATATTAAAATGGGCGTAGGAGAGTTCAGTTACAGGATTTCTATCTCAACTCTAATAGTCGTCTTTCCGCTCCTTTTTGTCTTCAGGCTTGCTCAAGGTAAGCTTTAGAGTACATGTAAGGTATCCTTGCTTTGCAGCCAAATATTATTACTATATATATATATATATATATGTGTGTGTGTGTGTGTGTGTGTGTGTTATGGAAGTGTTTTCGTATGTAGCGCTCTTAGAGACCTGTCAGACTTATGCGGCTGTACTGTTATCGTAGCCAATTAAATAAACATGACTGAGACAATCCCTTTAATTTCTATGGAGATAAAAAAAAGTAAACATGTCAGCATCTTTGATACTAATGACGTTAGATGCTGTGATGTCTGTGTGTAACGTTTCAGTTTACTTCTATTGATATTTGGTGGCAGTAGGCTGCTTGGATTTGATTGGTCAAATCTTACCCTCGTAATACAAATCACTGAAAAATATTTTTGCTGAATTGAACTGATATAAAGCATTGTCCAGAAATCTCTGTTGATTTTGTTTTTCATTAAAAATATTTGGTTGGTTCACTTTTTTTCTTTTGAATAACCAATAAATTATTCATCTGTCATAATCACTCCCTTAAGAAATGAAAATTGATGAATGAAAAGTGTATTGGATTTTTTCTTTTTTTAATTAACTTACATACTTGCATGGTTAGAAGAAGAAATACTAAGACTGCATGTTTGACTCGAACCTTTTCATTAGCAGTTTGTTTAGCTTTGATAGGCTCAAAGAATTGGAATCTGTATTACTATAACTTGGGTACCACTGGCCTATTTAAATCTTAGGAACACATTATGTTTTCTATACCATATATAAGTATAACTGTATGAGATTTTGTACTTATACCAGAGGTGTGATTTGAACCCTCAAGGTCTTATGTCAGTTGCCTCTTGAGTCAGTTAAGTCTGTGAGGATTAAGTGATTAGGCCTTAGTGATTAGACTTTAGGTGCAGATGGGACTGGGCCAGTGTTTGGTTGGAATTTAGGAGCAACTGAGCAACATTGAGATTAAAAAAATGCCAAGACAGATTGCACAAAGATTTGTGTGTGTGTTGTTAATTCATGATATGTTCACTTCACTAAGAAGAAAATTGGACAATTATAAGCCTGGTGTTATCTAAAATCTCCCTTTTTGTCCCTCAGGTCAGTTACACGTGGTTGGATCCCTTCAGCCTGTTGTAGCAGCTCCAGGTGATGATGTCATCCTGCCCTGTCAAGTGGAACCAGCATTTAACGTGGCGGGGTTGACGGTGGAGTGGTCAAAGCCGGACCTCCGTCCTGACCCCAACGACCGGCTCAGCCGAGTGGAATATGTTCATCTTTACAGAGATGCCCACGAGGTCCCCGACATGAAGCTCCCATCGTACATCGGGAGGACGGCGTTGTTCACAGACAGCCTGAGAGATGGAAACATCTCACTAAGAATCACTAATGTGACACTAGAAGATCAAGGAAGATACAGATGTTTCATCCCGAAGTTAAAGGGTCAAACAAAGTTTTCAATTGTTCGTCTGATTGTTGGTGAGTCAGACTGATAAAATCATTTTTTTCTCACTTTATTTTTTCTCAAAAGTATTAAAAACCTATAAGACCAATGACTTTAGTTATATCAGCTAATTTACAGATGATAAATACATATTTTTATTTAATTTATTTTGTTCTTTCAGACCCAAGTTTAACTGAAACTGCGACCACAGAGACACAACTGGATCCTGAAAATTTCCATGTTCCTGATTTAAATGAAGAGATAGATAATAAAGGTGAGAACATGAGACCATCATACACCCAACAGAGAATATGAAAAAGTCTTGAAATCAGCACTTTTTTGCTCTTGGGTCATGTGGAACCTACCATAAATGTTGCAAGTGCCTGAGACACTGAACCATTCATATTAATCCAACTTAGCTGAATACGTGTGTGGACTACGATACGAGTACATGTATTATGAATGTAAGGCAGCGGTCACCGGTGTTCTGCGAGATAATGAGCAGACCTCTATGCATGCCAAATTTAATGCAGCTCTCATCATTGTAACACTGTCACACAGCTAGATCTAAGCCTGTAACAAAAGCCTTTGCTTTCCACATTGTAGTACAGATGCAGGTCTTTTGCAAATCCATGTCCCAAATCTTTATCTCATCATTGTCAAATAATACAGTTTATCTCCACCTTTGCTGACCTCACAAAAAATGTCCCAAAAAAGTCAACAACATGATCTGGTGGACTGAAGAAGAAAGTGATTTTATGATTCTACTACTATTAAGACAGTTTCAATATACCAATATAAGATCATTGTTATCTTATATCGGTACCCATAATATGGGTGGATGAGAATGTGAAGTCAGCAAATAGCAGTGCTATGTGTTAGCTTATGACATCAGTGTTTTATCTAAAAGTGCAGCCGAGGCTGCCTTATGCTTTATGACTTATGACTGTACTGAATTATAAAGATATCACAGGAACTAACTTATCGTCTACCAAACTTCACACTTCATATAATTTCCTTAGGGATTATTAAAGTATTCTGATTCTGATGATTAGCCATAAAAATTATATCAATAAAATATTGAAATGTAAAGATGTTTACATTTACAGTTGGTCTCATCTCTGTTTGTTTTTTCCTGGCAGGTGGTTTGTCCGAGCGGTGCCGACTGATTCCAGTTGTGGTTCTCTGTGTGTTTATTCTTCTGTGCTTCGCAGTTGGAGGATGTTTGATCACAGAGTCACAAAAAGCAGAAGTATGTTAAAGTCTTAAATATTTGTTTTTATGCATTTACTTGATGTTTGAAAGTTTTGAAACAGTTAAAACTCTGTGCACAAAAATAATTAAAAAAAATCTTTCTGCAGATCAAGAAACTTCCAATCTAATTGCTTTGTGCAAGGGCGCATTGGAACTGTTAACAGAGAAGAGTGCTGCCTACGTACCCACGGATCTTTCATATGTGTGTGAAAATTCAAAGCATTAACTCTTCCAGCCTCTTCTGGACACAGTGGATGTGTCCCATAATCTGTTTGGACCTAAATGAACTTTAACTCTAAATCACTGTAAATGATGACCATGCCTTCAGTGATTGGTCAGGTGATGTTGACCTCTGGCTTCAGAGTATACGGTTACTTTAAATCTATTGAAGTGACGTGTTGCAGCACTTTGTGTTTTACATGTCGACACTAAAGCTGAATTTGTTTTTGTTACTTTTATGTTAAGTTATTTTGGTCACAAGGAAAGATTTAGCTCTATTCACATAACTTTGCACTACATATAACGTGACTTCAGTGTTTTGCATATATACACACTTGCAGGATATATGAAAAACTGAGGATTGGTGGGAACTGAGGGGAGTTTTGTGTTTGTGTTTTTTTTAAAGTCAAATCCAGCAGTCATGTATTGAGACAGCCTGGAGCTGTAGGTGCTTTTTCATCTCTTAGTTTTCTTATAATGACACATTGTTTATGGGACAATTTTTTGTATCAGTTTTAGGATTTCAGTATTTGGATGTCATTTTAGAGGTATGTTTCCTTTATAAGGAAGAACTTTTCAATCCTCTGAACTTTGAAGTGCTTTTCAGTTACTTAACACTGACAATTAAGTTAAGTTAAATATTCATTGTTCTGTTTATTTGAGCTTCTTCATATTTAAATTCTTAAAAAATTGGTCTTTTTTAACGATTGTTCTGATTTTTGAAGTTTGAAACTCTTGTCACTCCTGCATTATCAAATGAATTTATGTGATATTTGAAACAGTGTTTATTTGGTTTCATGCAACAAAAAATAGCCACATAAAGTGCATTTCCAAGTGATTGCAGTGTGTTTACGTCATATATTCAGTGATTAAAATCTGTTCTGGAGTTCAGCTGTTACATCACATGATAGGCATCTTATGTTGTGTTAGCATCGGGGAATCATGGATGAGTAATGTGGGTGAGAATGTGAAGTCAGCACATAGGTCATAGCACTGTGTTAGCTTATGATATCAGTGTTTATCTAAAAGTGCAACAGAGGCTGCTTTATGCTTTCTTCTATGACGGTACTGAATTATAAAGAAACTAATTTATCATCTACGAAGAATTATACCTTACATTATAATCTGTAGTAGATTTCTTTTTCATTGAAACTGTAAACGTATCTGTTGGGTGAAATTTCACATCCACCGTGCTTCATCATATCCCCTTATTGTTTTCATTTCCTTTCTGTGATTCTGTATAAACTTTATGTTTGCAGCCAATCCAGACATAAAAACTAACTGCTTTATCAGGTTGTAATGCTTTCTAATTTGGGCCAAAACTGAATAATTTATATGTGTATCTGGAGTTTAGGTGGATCTATTTCTCCAAACATAGGCCGGGGTGTTATTAAAAAGGTATATGTTTATGTATGTTTGATTTTACGCACTTACTTCACGGTTGAAAGATGTTAAACAGAAAAAACTGTGCACAAAAGTTTTGGGGTTTTTTAGATTTTTTTTTAGTCATGAAAGCCACTGGAATTCATTAATTTTCTTGAACGTTTGAGATGTGTCTCAAAACTGGATTATAGGTAGCAAACAGTTAGTGTCTATGTTCAAGGATGGCCTTTCACAGTAGACATAGATGGCCTCTTTCAAACCATTTGTCTTCCCTGATCTTCTTTTCTGTGCATCTTTGATGATTTGATGAAAGCCCAGTTGGGATTTCCACATGTTTTAAGAGTTTTCTTTACATGTGTGTGTTCCTTTTCTTTCTCATCTGGCTTAGAGGGAACATTTTCTGCTCAGTGCTGTAGGGTCCTGATTACTCCAAGTTTGTGTTCCAGAGGGTGGTGAGAGTCAAAGAGGAGGTACTGCTCTCTGTGTGGAGGCTTCTGGTAAACTTCAATGTTGAGGTTTCCCTGCTGCTCAATGTGCAAAGCACATTCCAGAAATAGCAAACTGTATATATATCCTTATATCCTTTGTATTTTCCCTGGGGAACTTTATTTCTATCCACTGAGTTGATGTGAACAGTAAAGGCTTCTACTTCTTAGGTTTTGATTGTGACCCAGGTGGCATCCACATACCTGTAACAGCAGCTTGGTGCTGTCCCTTTTAAAAGCCTTTACTTTCCACTTGCTCCATGTAAAGGTTGGCTACAATAGGTGACACGGGGCAGCCCGTGGCAAATCCATGACCTCATTGTATTTACAATTACTGGTGGTAACACAGAGGTCTAACAGTGTGCCTATCTGTCTGGGGGTAAAGCTGGATCTTTTTAGGGACCTGTCTTGCTGTAGTTATTGCTGCTTGAAATCAGGCCAGTACAGAATAATATGGAGTTCAGATGATAACTTAAAAGACTTACTCCAAATATAGGCTCAGGAGGATTATTAATAGGCTGTATTGGAATAAATAATGCATTTAATTGGGATAAAGTCTAAACACCTCTTCTTTTTTTCTTTTTTTTTTAAATTCGACAAAATTGCAGAAAAAATCGTCTTATGATCCCACAAACTGAGTTTGTTCAAGCAGATCAAGTCAAACTCAGATTTTCAGTACAGAGCCATGGAGCATCCACAACTACTGAAGACCGAAGCCTGAGCATACCACTAACCACCCCCAACAAACAAGAGAGAAGCTAATCGGGGATCACATAATTTTGTTTTCATTTAAAATGCTTGTTAATTAATTTTTAGTAGAAATTTTAGCTATATAATTTTATTGTCACAACAAGTCCTGGGTTACACATATGCTCTGCATGATTCAGCTGGTTTGTGTTTATGGCAAGTTACACAGTGCCCTCTAGTGGACCAGCGATGCAACATCAACACTTATATTTTAAGAGTGTTCCTTCTGTCTCTTCTTTACTCCATTATTATATTTTTCATTTATTCGCCATTATTATTGTTGATTCCAGTGTAGATTCTGATCGCAGCCAGGCACTAGTTATTAATACTAAACGGTTTCCTGCCACCAAACAACTCTGAGTATCATATTTACCCCATAAACCCAGAAATGACTAATTAACATGTACTATATTTCATGAAACCTATTCTTTTTCATGTGAGAAGGACAAAGTGAAAGTGAAAATAAAACTCCAATTTTCAACTTCTCTCCATACGTCAGGAAGGAAAAGGCTGAGGGAGGCATTAAGGATGTTACTCAGAATTGTGGGAGGGGACTCAGACGTATTGCTGTCAGGAGATGAGGTAGAAGAGGCCCAGACATGACAGCTTTAAGGCAGCTGAGCAGGAACAAAGTGATCGCACCCAACATCCACACTGGACGTGTAAGGCAGAGCTCTGAATTTCGTGGCATTGCAATGTGTAGGAAGGGAAATAAGAACACTTAGACACACACAAGTAGATTACATAATCAAATCATTTCTATTCAAGTCGCTTTTATTTATATAGTGCCAAATCACAACAACAGTGGCTTCAAGGTGCTTAAACTATGGGCACTTCCTATTGAACTATTTCTTTGATTTATATAAGTAATATTTTCTAAAACTAATTAAACTTTATCAGTTCAGTTTGGACCCTAATGAAACAGGGTAACAACATTATTTAACATGAAACCTAAAAACTGCCCACAACCACCTCCTAAAGACCTTAAATAGAAAATAGGCAAAGTGGTTTTAAATATGTCAGACCACACAAACCAGAGTCAGGTGCTTGTCGCTGACTGCAACTTTACACTGGCTCTAGTTAAAGTAGAGCCAGGCTCTAGTTATTAATACTAAATGGTTTCTTGCCACCAAACAACTTTGTGTCATATTTACCCCATAAACCCAGCAATGATTAATTAACATTCACTTCATTTCACATCACATCACTATTTAAAGGTAAAGTAAGCATTTGTTATGGGTTATTTATTTTATTTTTATAAATTATACGCATAGGGGTAAACATACGAAATGTTTAATTGACACATCTGGGTTTTTTTGCTTGTTTGTTTTGTTTTTTAAATTTCCTGATTTATTACTATTGCTAATGTTTTTCAAATATAGTCTGTAAAAAGAGTCTATATTAGTCACAGACTATAGTCTGTGACTCCAGAGGCAGAAACATGTCAACCAGTCAGCTGCAGCCATCATGGGAACAGTCTAAATTTAATGTTTCTGATCTCTCCTGGCTGATTAATACATGTGTGTCCTACAGAGGACCCCATAGCTACAATTATGCGCTTAAGTTGGGAGGGGTAATAAAACAGAAGTCAGTTCAGTACAATCAACTGCCATCCAGCTGATTTAAGTTAGTTTACACACTAACTTAAATCAGCATTTTGTAGGTAAATGAGCTCAAGTGAATCAAAAATGAACCAAAACTTACTGAGTTAAGGAGAAAAATGAAGACTAATACCATGAGACTGAAACCATAACTATAAAAAATGATCATAGTAACATAGTAATCACAAAGTAAGCTTCTGTGGTAAACAAACTTGTAATGGTCTTTTTTTGTACAGCTATTCAAATCATTTATTGTAAAGCATTTAAATGAGTCTCCTGTGAATTCATATGAAATACAGAGGCGTGCTTCCTCTGAAATTCTGAAGTAAAACATCACAGGCTAATCAGTTTGTTGCTACATCTATTTATAAAATGCAAAAACAGATGTTCACACACAGACACATGATTGACTTTTCACACATTTGGCTCAATAATGGTGCACAGAGTTGGTCAGCTCACAGTGTCAGAGCGGCTTTGTAAACCTATTTGTGGAGGATGTATGTCACAGTTTCATCTTCGATACCACAAATTTCAAATGTTTACTGTCTTTACCAAAAAATGTATCACAATGAAGTGAAGCTATGGAATATTTATTAAACTCTAAATTCAAATAGCGCAATGTTATTAGGAGAAAACTTCAATCCTGCATGAAGATCAGTTGACACACTGTGGGAAGGTGATTTGTACAACCCTTAAAGGAGAACGTCAAAGTCTTTTTTCCAGATATTTATGTGATATCCCTTAATTTCTGGAGTTTACACACACAGACAGTACTAGAATAAAAAAAAATACAAATTTGGCATCCATTCAGATGATGATGTAAACTCATAGATTGAGTTAAAGACTCATGGAACAGCTCTGCTGAGTTTTCTCTTCTGTGACTCCAAATATTATCATCATGTCTAAATGACAATCTAATATATACAATATATTATTCTGTAAGAGGGGAGTAGGAGAGCTGAAATAAAGTAAATGTTCATCACTCTATGGAGGATGTGCAGTTACATTTTAGCTGATGCTATTTTAAAATATGTGTAAATATAAAGAGTGTGTTAGTAAACCAGCTATCTTAGTCTTTGGCCAAATGAAGAAGTTCAGTGAGGTTAAACATCCCCTTTGCCTAATGTTACACAAATGTGCTAAATTTATCCTACATTTCCTCTAATTGCTGTTTTGTGGTTGCTACATTTGGATGGGCTTGTAGAAAAAAATAAGTGAGTAGTTAAGCAGAAGCTGTAGATGTTGCAAAGGAATTTCCTGTTGTATTCTACAGTAGTCCATCTATTGCAGGGATGGCTGGTATGAGCAGGATGCCGATGCTCCGTAGGGACAGAGAAACATACAGCGACACACTCAATGAACACTTAACAGTCCATTCTTTATTAAAGCTGTGGTTCTCAGCATCAGAAAGCTTTTGTACTCCCAGTGTTCTGCACAAACTACCACACTGCATGTAACAGCGATAAAAAGGGAATAAATATCCTACAGCATTTACATATTCCGTCATATTCCTTCTTATCAGGTAGGCGGGATGAAAGTAGGTCTGTTCAGCAGCAGGTGGTTTGACTCTGATGCTGAAATGGATATTGAAGAGTTCACTTTCAGTATTTCTCTCTCAACTCTAACAGTTACCTTTTTACTGCTTTTTTTCCTCAAACCCATTGGAGGTAAGCTTTCACACACACACACACACACACACACACACACACACACTTTTTAAATTCAGTTTACCAGGATTTGTGAAATGTACAGTAATTGTACCCCTTTCAAAATAAAATTTTGTAGTGAAAGGAACTCACTAGCTCCAATTTTCAACTTTAGCCCATACTTTAGGCAGGAAAGGGCTGACAGAGGCAGGATGGATGTTACTCAGGATTATGGGAGGTGACTCAGACTTGTTGCTGTCAGGAAATGAGGTAGAGGAGGCCCAGACATGATAGCTTTAAGGCACCTGAGCGGAAAAAAAGTGATCGCACCCAACATCCACACTGGACGCGTAAGGCAGAGCTCTGAATTTTTTGACATTGCAATGTGTAGGAAGGGAAATAAGAACACTTAGACACACACAAGTAGAGTACATAATCAGATAAAAGTTTGATTTATTTGATTTATAGAAATAATATTTTCTAAAAGCAAATTAAACTCTACCTTTCATTTCTTCATCAGTTCAGTTTGAACCCTTCTGAAACAGGGTTACAACAGTTTTTAACATGAAACCTAAAAACTGCCCACAACCATCTCCCGATGACCTTCAACAGAAAAAAGGCAAAGTGGTTTTTAAATATGTCAGACCACACAAACCAGAGTCAGGTGCTTGTCACTGATTGCAACTTTAAACTGAAAACAGAGTATCTAAAACATGTTTGCAGCATGACTCGGATACCCTGGGATCTGGATACACTGGGTCCCAGTGGTAGTAAGGTCGAGACATTATCTTTAGATTAGGCGGTCCATCAAGAGGCCTGAATCAGCCAAACCGTGACACAGGTCGATGAGCTGATGAGTCCCTGCACACACTGCAGTTTGTGCCTGGGAACTCAAATCGCACAACTTCAGAGCCCCGCCTTACACAGCACTTCTTGTAATTGACTTTGAATGTTGGCATTTTGTTCCAGCTCAGACTTCTCAAAAGCCAGTTTGTCCTATTCTAAGGTTTCACCTTTCTGTTCCTTCTCTCTGTTATTACATACACGATTACTGTTGGTGTCATGCCTCAGGTGTTAGTGACCCAACAATGGAGCTTTAGAAATGATGACCATATGTTAAAAGTCCTCACCTCTGTCCATACGTCAGGAAGCAGAGGACTGGAAGAAAAGCCATTCACTGTTAGGAGATCGGGTGGAGGAGGACTAGACAGTAGAGTAGGAAGGCATTTAAGTGTGTGTAATTCACCTCTAAGCACTATGATAGCCGCTATAGGCTCCACCACTCCACCCTCCCGAAACCTGAATTGGACAAGCAGACGAAAATGGAGGAAAAAAGACATGAGTATGTATGGAAACATAATAATAATAATAATAATAATAATAATAATAATGTATTTTTTAAAAAGAAGTATAACCTGGAAGGGAAACATAAGCCACTCCCTCCTCCTCGTCTTTCTCTCTCCCTTACACACCGTTGCACACAGTCGCACGCACCGGTGCGTCAGCTTCAGGCGGACCATCGCTACTGCTTTTCATAAAGTTTTCTCCCCTCGATAAAGAACCCGATGGTCGCGATCAGCTAATGAAGCTTCTGACTGAAAAGGTGAGCCGCTTCTGCTCTGATCTACAATACTGTTTGATCATTAATGAGAACGAGCGC